TGCATAGACAAGTAATCGAAAGCATTGGAAAAAAGAAGGCATTGGAACCTTTTACATTCGCGAGATTCGACTAGAATCATTATTTCTACTTTAAATGAATAGAATAATATTTCGTAGCTCCAAATGCTTCCATGTTTGTTGCTTGTTTACGATATACTTGCGTTTAATTGGAAATTTCTGAAAACTGATAATTCACCGTCAAGCTTAACACGGATAAACTCGTAAACAAGATACTCATAAATGAACTGGTGAGCTGCTGAGCATTTCGAAATCAAAGCTTACGGAGAATTTCAAGGTTGGACAGGTTTGCTGCTGTTAACAAGCACTTAAAACTTCTCAGTCCGTTCTGTTCTAATTATTACCATTACCCTGGAAGTAACTGTAAGTAGAAATAATACTACATGGACCTTGAAATGGGAAGGGAATTGCGAGAGGATGAGCATCGGGGATGGAAAGCGAAACAGAAACGAGAGAAAATAAACGAGAGAGAGGAAATGTTGAACACATCCCGTTGGCCTTCAACGAAGAACTAGGTCAACTGATGACCTTCCTGCAATAAGCAACCAAGGTTCCACAGCACCGTGGAAAATTATAACGGCAATCCCCTAAGAAACTCGTTGAAATATTCATCAAGAATCGTTAACGAGAAGAGGAACCGATTGGCTGTTAAGCTTACAAAGCTGAAACGATACAACCAGCGAAGCACGTATGTCGTTTATTATTTATGTCGTTTGTAAATCGATCGATTGTATCCGACGTGTTTTCCCTTCGAATTGAAATGGAAATTCGTTTGTGTCTACACGTACACGTTCAAGGTATGTACAAATATTGTGCATGTATACCTGTTTCAAAATTGAAAGAATTGAAATCGAAAGAACGATGGTGTCTCTTACATTTGTTGTTACCGGATAATATAAATTGGAATAAGAGATCACGAAAGTGGAAAAAAAAAATATATAGCTACTACTATATAAATATATAAATATTATTAATCAAAGTTATTGTCATTATTATATTCATCGAACATATAAATTATTATTATTAATTATATAATATTATTATTCATTCGCTTTATATCATATATAAATATATTATATACTTTCGAAACACGATCTTACGAATATAAATGTAAGAAACATTGTTCAATATTTTAGAAACAGCTTAATTTTAATTAAATTAATTAAAATTTACAATCATTGAATGCTCCGCAACTATTCTTCTTCTATTTGAAATATTTGATGTATGAATATTTAGCAGATGTGTATATATTTGATGTATGAATATTTAGCAGATGTGTATATATATATATACATCTGCTAGATATTCATACATCAAATATTTCAAATAGAAGAAGAATAGTTGCGGAGCATTCAATGATTGTAAATTTTAATTAATTTAATTAAAATTAAGCTGTTTCTAAAATATTGACAACGTTTCTTACATATATATATGGAAATATATATATATATATATATAGATTTCCATGACTACATCTTCATTTTATATTTCATATTTATGGTTTCAATTTTTGTATAGGTAACAGACAGATCTGTTTTCAATAACATATAATGAGATGAAATATGTAGGCAGAAACTTTCATATGTTGAACATAAATAAAGAGTATTTATACATTAATACTGTTACATTAATAATAATTCAATGATACAAGAAATGTTGAATATGAAATTTAAATTTACTTTAATATAGGAAAATTTCGTTTCTGGACTGTTATATCATTCTTTTCTGGTTGAGATATTTTAAAATATCTATCATTTCAGCACTGATGGAAACTGACATTTATTTTCCTTCAAATGTAATATGCTAAAATACCATCAAATGTCTAGTCTTGAAACTGTACTCTCGCAAAATCTGAATATCTTTGTACGATAACTTGAATATCAGTGCATGTAAAAAGAAAAAAAAATATATAATATATTACATTATATAATATTATACATTATACATATTGTATAATATATTGCATAAATGTAATATTATTTAAAAGTATGTAAGGACGAGTATGTAAGTATTGTATAGGATACTTAAATAGTAAAAAAATATCTTAATTCACTAGAATTTAATATTTATATAATTTACGTATATATATTTAATTCGTTATTTATTCTTGATCTTCTAATATTAATTGAAAAAAAAAAAAAAAAAAAAAACTGAAATGAATATCGAATGATAATAATAATAATAATAACTGGAAGAGAATTTACTTTTTTTGCTTCTTTAGATTTTTATGAAATAAAAGAATTAAATAAATAACAAAATTATTGGCAACTATCACTTACAGATTTTAGTTAGCAATAACTGTTAGCCATTTTTAACGACAAACAAGAGTTATTTTAACCGTTAAACAAGTTAATATTATGCTTCCTTATTCTTTTATCCCTTTTATCCTTTCATCCCTTAACCTTCGGGTACTCCGACAGCGTTTAAAAATATCGCTTTATATAAACGCTTGTATCTTCACTTCAAAATGAACATTCATGAATATTCACTGGATGATGGGACATTTCTAAGTTTTTTTTTTTTTTTTTTTTTTTTTTTTTTTTTACGCTTCGCGTGATCTTTTTTTGGTCTTTTCCGGTTCACCATCTTAGACATCTCAGTAGTAGAGCTCTCTATTTTTCGATAATATTTTAACATGATTCAAGTGAAACCACTCTCGAAGCAGCTTTATAAATTTACACGATTTAAAGATTTGCACGACCTTTGTGAAATAGAATTCTTGAAGCAGCTTTATAAATTTACACGATTTAAGGATTTGCACGACCTTTGCGAAATAAAATTCTTGAAGCAGCTTTATAAATTTACACGATTTAAAGATTTGCATGACCTTTGTGAAATAAAATTCTGCTCTTCATTTTCATCACAGACCTGTTTCCTATTTCTTGCATTCTGATTTCTCTGGGTATTAAAATTTTTATGAATTTCTAGCTTCCCCGATTGTATCTATTTCATCTATTTTTTCGCTGTGCAGCTTTCTTATTCAACGAAACAGCCAAAAAATCGGGAAGAGCCGATAAACAAGAAATTCACAGGTAACTCAATTCCGAAGGGACAAAGAATTAGATACAGGGAAAACGAGCGAAACAACTGAAATGAAATCGAAAGATATATTCCTCAAGTGTTACTAACTATCTGGTCGTCGGCGGAAATGAAATCGGAGATTACCTTAACACCCTGATGATAAAGCGCTTTCCATTTTATAGAGATTTCCCTCCCATTAACGAGCACGTGCTTCTCTCTAGTTTGGCCTGCGGGTGTGGCCCAATGAGAATGACCCCGGATCCACGTGTCGTAAGAGGCGTAGCTAATGAATGGCCAGACATACCTCTGCGTGTCGTACGAGGCGACTAATAGAGGCAATGAGTATCGACAACCCGGGCGGGACATTAATTCCCGTACGAGCTAATGGTACGACCAGAGCAAAAGTCCTTACAGTCGACGAAACGGAGTCAAGCGTTGCGATCTCTCGATCCCACGGGGGCGAATGATACGAAGAGTTGACGCCTAATTGTTTCCGGCCCACCACCCTTCTTGTCGGCTGTTCCGTTGGGGGGTGGAGAAAGTTTTTTATTTATGCGTATGCCCTAATGGGCGAGATAGCACATCCGCGATTGATAATAAATGTTTCTCTCTAGTCGAACGTCGCCATTTCTCGGTTCGATCGGCACGCTTGACACATCAAAGGTGATACCATAGCCCGTGCTAAAATGTCACGATATCAATGCGTTAAGATGTCAATATGTCAACGGCGTCGACATTGTTTCGCGCGCTCCTGTGTATTTTCGAGCTTATAGAATGGCCATTGTTCGAGGGGCCAATGATGTAACTTGCTGTAATTTCACGAAAATGAGAAACTGTCAAATCTGTCACAAGGCTTTCAACCCTCTGAAGGGCTAAAAATCTCCTCTCAATTATCCGGCTTTGCATCTCTAACGATACGGAAGTTAATAATAATGACCCCTTTGTATTATTTTCGAGAGATCACGAAGCGATAAACCGCTGTGTAAACAAGGAAATATCCCAAACGTATGAAATTTACGAGATTCAGGGAAGGAATATTCTTGTTTTCAAAAGATGTGAATAACGTTGGCAAACATTAGTACATCTCCCTGAGGTGTACTAAATGCTCTGTATTTCTTTGAATCTGGATGCATGAGTATATGTTAAAATCCTGAGGGAAAGTCTAATTCTGAGAAGGATTTTGCTACCTGTGAAAGTATATCGTCTATGTCAGGTAGCAAGTAAGCGTGTTAATCTGTCAATTCGTTTAGTTTCCTAAAGTCAATGACTATTCTCCATTTTTGTTTTCCAGGTGCGTCTGCTTTCTACTACCTGAATTGTAAGATAAACCGGAAGATTCAATAATCTTTTTGTCTAACATGTCTTTCATTTGTCAGTCCAAAGGCTTGTAATTCTCGATTCCGAGAGAGAAGCTTTGCGAATAAATAGATTTGTTGAAATCGGCAAATCGAATTTACACGAAACAATTAAATTCACATTAAGTGCCCAGCCTTACTTACCGTTTCGTTCACGC